CATGGCACCTTTTCAATTTTTTAAAAAAATAAATACCTCACAGATGAAGAATATGCATATAGCTTTTGAAGATACAATAAGCTATATTAACAATACACATACACATAATCGTAAAAATGAGGCCCAGTACACGCGGACTGCATCAGGAGCTCCCCGGCACCCACCAACCTTTTGAACTCAGACTTCGCCACTGTGTTGCCGCTGCTGAAGAGCCACTGTGCTTCCCCTGCCACCCTGTTGCTGCAAGGAGGCAGAACTGGGACCCTCCGACCCTGCTGTGGGCAGCTGGGACAACCTCTGTCGGACACTGCAGAGCAGGATCTGCTCATGCTAAATGCATGCTTTCCCTTGCCCCCCTCCAGCAGTTCCTCCTGGTCTACACCAGAAAGGAATGAATGCTACGTCCCCTCAAATATACGTGCACAATGATCGTGTCACCTTCATTGATGACAGGCCTGGACCAACCCCCAGCGTCCTTGCACTGCATGAAGACATCGTGTTATAAGCGTGCAGTGGAATACCATATAGCCATGAAAAATACATAGTCTACTGCTGCACACACTATCACAAGATTGAGTGAATGCAGTCAGACACAAGAGTGTGACTCCCATGCATGTGAAATTCACAAGCGGGCAAATTAATCTACGGTTATAGGGTCTCTGGGGATATGCTGAGATTCCGGTGAGGAGATGTATCTTGAAAATGTGCCGTGAAGTCCAGTGAGATGTCACTGTAGATCCATACCCACCATTGTGCATACCTTGTACTTCCACTGAACAGTTAAATATCATTCATTCATTCACTGTTTCTGCCAGAGAAAAGACCCAATATTTTGTTTAGCCTATGTGTTAACTTGTTTCATATTTTAATTATTTATTTATTTATCTTATTGTATCTGCTCTTTTTTGCAACTACTATTTCCAAGTTTCTTATCTGTTCCCATATACTTTCTGTGAGTTTTTGTCTTTGTTTTGATATTTTTACACCCCTTTTGATTCATTCAGCTCATTGCAATGACCATACTCTTTTCAAATCAGTCTTTTGAAATTTTTAAATTAGAAAATCAGGAATTTATTATCAGGAATACTTTTGGAAACACTTTTAATTACAGCTTTTTGTTAGTTTTTTGTAGAGTTTCCTTACAAAGGAAATCAATCAGACCAACACTAGCCTTGCACCTGCCACAGACAGAGCGGAAGACATCAGTGAGCATCTAACAAGTCAGGAAGGATCGGGTCGGCAGCCCAAGGATCCGGAACACTCAAGGAAAGCACCGTCTGTCTCTCGGCGAAACAAAAGCGTTTCTGGACACGCAGGCGGTGCAGGAACAAGCCCTCTACACAACCCGAGGGAAAGCATGAACTCTGGCCAGCTAGCAATCCAGTCCGAACATAATTTGCAAGAGCGTAGACGAAGGGACGGTGGATCCCGCAATGTGCACTTTCAATACGTGTACATGATGGTAACATGAGTGGAATATTCTTGTCAGTGAGGATTACTGAGACAGAAATAGCACAACACAAATGATGAACTTAGACCCTTCGGCTGCGTGAGCCGCACTCCGGGGCTGGGACAGATGTGGAGACTAGAAATAAAAGCTGCGTCTTCCAGGGCAGGGGAGGAAGAAGTAGGGAAATGCAACACCTTGGAAAGGGGGCAGGTGATATTCACCTTCAAATAATAACCAAGAAAAAGACAAGTTGCCGGATATACAAGGTATCTCGGGGAATTGCTCCTGCAACCACAGACAGATAGACATTTTCTCCACCGTGGCCGCCCCCAGGGGCAGAGGTCTGGAAGGCGTCCGAGAGGAGGTGCAGAGTGTGAGAGGCCGGAAACTAGCCCGCGGGGCTCCCTGCGGGCTCCCTGCAGGGCGGCTCTGAGCAGGAGGACCTCCCTTATGCCCCGTCAGGCTTGGTCCTGCTGCCGCGAATCTGAGATTGCAGCCATCCAGAGTCTAAATCCTTCGAGTCAAGAAAGTTTCCAACTCGTTTCATTCGATGAAACAAATGGCGGGGTTTATTCCACTCTTCAGCCCGTGGACACTGTTAGGGCCAGTGTTATCCCCTCGCCGTGGAACCCACTGTCTAGCGAGAGGCAGCGTCACAGTGACCCGTGACCTCTGGAAGAGAAACCCGACTCGCTAGAGCACCGCGCAGACCGGCTGTCAGCTCGCCCACGTGACCGACCACAGGGAAACCAGCTAGAACCTCTTTAAAGCTCCCAAGACTTTGGGACTAGAAATGCTTTTAAAAACGACACCTCAAAGCTATTTTTAACTTTCTGTAATTCACACTCATTTCTGCGCTGACTGTTAAAAACTTGGATGGCGCGTGCATTTTGAAGGTGAGATACCATTTGAATCATTTAGAGCATTTTTAAGTTCTGCATTTTCTCCTTCCTTCCCTTCGTTCCTTCTTTCCTTCCTTCCCTTCGTTCCTGCGTTCCTTCCTTCCTTCAGCCTGAAGACGACACTTCCTGAAGATGACACCAGTCACTCTTACGCCGTCACCTCCGCAATCCTGCAGTTGCCCTTCGTCACGAGGTCTGTGTCCGCCAGAGCCCAGGGCGTCCAGGCAGCCTCTCCACGGGGTTCCCGTCGTGTTGCTGTTCCCAGCACGCGGCCAAGCGCCCAGACGGCTCCATCCTCCTGGACTGACCATTGAGCCCATGTCCCAGACCCCTTTCTCCCCGCTGGGAGAGGCGCCCCCCCACACCCCCGGTCTATGGAGCTCCTCTAGGGTTTCCCTCCCACCCTGTGGCCGCAGGGCTTTCAGCCTGCAGAGCTGCCCACGGTGGTGCTGTCCCTGAGCAGCTGCCCACGGTCCCTCTCTGTGGGGCGGGAGGTCGTCCTGCCGATGCCATGCTCTGTGCTACGGACCCGTCTTCTCATCTCATTGGAGAGGAATCAGAGGAGGCTGATATGTTATTGAGACACTTTTTTTTCTTTTTTTGAGACAGAGTCTCGCTTTGTTGCCCAGGCTAGAGTGAGTGCCGTGGCGTCAGCCTAGCTCACAGCAACCTCAAACTCCTGGGCTCAAGCAATCCTCCTGCCTCAGCCTCCCGAGTAGCTCGGACTACAGGCATGCGCCACCATGCCCAGCTAATTTTTCTATATATCTTAGTTGGCCAATTAATTTCTTACTATTTATAGTAGAGATGGGGTCTCGCTCTTGCTCAGGCTGGTTTCGAACTCCTGACCTTGAGCAATCCGCCCGCCTTGGCCTCCCAGAGTGCTAGGATTACAGGCGTGAGCCACCGCGCCCGGCCTATTGAGACACTTTTTAAACCACTCAATAATTTAACCAGGAAGCTATACGGAGTTGGGAAAAAATAATGAGATAATAATCTTAATAAATTTATTTATTAAGGATAGCACAGAGAAAAAGAAAACAAGACGTGAAAACAAATCAAGGGACAGGACCAACATGATGAGGAGGTCTCACGTGTGCCGGCCCTGAGGGTCAGAGGAGGGAACACAGGCAAGACAACGTCCCCCAGGACACGGGTTGGGAATTCGTCATAGCTGGTAAAGTGCAAGAGTCCAGATTCAGGAAACACAAGGTATCAAAAATGAGAGAAATAAAGCAGAAATTTATATCCAGATGCCACACATAACCCTGACAAAGATCTCACCAGCAGCCTCTGCCAACATACGCGTGGCCATGGGAGGCCTTGAACAGCTGGACTCGGTACTCTGGTGGTGGCTGTGTGACCAGTACCTTGCCAGGAAAACGTGTCATTGTCTTGAAAACCAAACCCCGACATGCCCTGCTACCCAGAGCTCTGCCTTCTGAGCACAGCCGGGGACGTCAGCCGGCATCTCCATGGCGGGGGCCTGATTTTAATGACAGCAGATGGGAAAAGCTGACACGACACAAAAGCCAACTGGCCATCAGCTGTTGACACTGGGAAAATTAACTGTGTCATATTCAAGCAATGAGAGATCCGACAGCAAAAAAAAGAAAACCCATAACAAATAATAGTAAGTAAAAACGCATGTCTTGGAGGACTGTGGCAGAATAATATTTTATAAGCCTCAAAATAAAATTAAATAGTTCATTGTTAGGGATATATATATATATATGCAGATTAACATTTAAAAAAAAATCAAGGGAGTGATAAACACAAATTCAGGATACTTCTTATGTCCGGAAGGCCGGAGGACGGAATGTGTGAGGGTCCATAGGAAGGTAGAAGTCTAGTGACAATGTCCCAATTACTGATCAGAATTCTGAGTTCATGAGCATTTCTTTTATTATTTTGCTTCATAATTCACATAGAGACTAAATGCAAACTTTAATTATCAACAGTTTTATTAAACGGTTAAAAATGACAAAAGTGAGACATCTCAAAGCCACGCCGTGCAGCGTGACTGTTTCCTTACACTCTGGCTGCAGGCCACACAGCTGGCCATGTTGGGGGTGTGATTTATAGTAAAACAATTGTTTTACCACCGCCGAGAGAGGGCCCTGAAGTTCCCAACTGCTAGGAACCCTCTGTGGCGGTGAGTGCGCGGTGCGCGGTGGCCACAGGCCCCGCGAGCTGCGGCTTCCGGGAGGCGGGAGTTTGTACCACAGCCACAGCTCACTGGGACATGCAGAGTTCGCCCTTCCTCAGGTGTCGCCGTGAGCCAGAAATAGACACCCTGCGTGTGTGCGTGCGAGTCTCACGGAAGGTTCCTAAAGGTAACTGGCAGCGACACCTGCGGTCGAGGTTACAGGAGAATGGGAGGCAGGATTGCGAATCCCACCTCGGCGTCGCGCACCTGCCCGCGCACCGAGACGCTACGACCCGCGAGCCAGAGTGTCGCGCAGCGCAGTGACACCCACGCGGGAACGCATGTCCACGCAGCTGCGCCGTGAACCCGGGTTTTCGGTGTTTCCGCCGAGACCGTCGCAGCTGTCCCTGCGGGGCAGGGGAGCACCTTTCCAACCTGCCCGGGTCACCTGGGCCACGGGCACCGCCACGAGACCAAAGCCCCCGGGAACCTTGCTTACCGTGTGGCTGGAGTTTCCGTTCAGGTGCAGGCCGCTGTCGAAGAGCGGCGAGGAGCCCCCGCTGCTGTGGTCGCTGCTCGGCCCGGGCGACCCTGCAACAAACAAACGGGAGACGCTGCGAGGGCGTCCCGGCGCGCACCCGCGGCCACCGCGGTGACTGCAGTGCCACCGCGCGCAGGCAGGCCGGCGGCAACACGACGCCTGGTCACCCTCGGGGCAGCCGAGGCCAGTTTCGGGCTGGGGCACCCAGGACGCTCTGCAGGTTCCCGCCCCGCCCACGTCACACGGAAGAGGGGACAGCAGGTGGCCCTGGGGGGTGAGGGCTGCCGGCCCGGGGACGGACGGCGGCGCGGATGTGCACACCCGACAGCTCGCGGCGCTTGCTGCGTTTGCGCTTTCTCCCGCTAGAGCAAGGCTGGCTAATTTTCTGAAAATTATTCCAGACTTTCTGATTTTCATTCTCAAATGGTTTATTTCTTCAACATTTTCCAGTTATCTCTGCACTGAAAATTGCTTTAGAGGAAAACATACAGAGGAACCAGGTAAGTTTCCGGGCCGGGATATTAAAAAGGCAGGAAGCTGGCGTCTCCGCGGGGAGCAGGGTCAGGATCTGCGGAACCGCGCGTTTCCACAGCCTGGCCCAGGACCCCGGAGGACCCGTGCGCGGGGCGGCTGCTGCTTCCGGGAGTGGCGGTGGACCGCAGCCCCGCTCCAAGCCCGTGCGCATGGGGCAGACCTCGGTGGCCGCCCTGGGGCATCGTGAGACCTGTCCCGCACCCTTCGCCATGCAGACACGCCAGGCCAAGCGCCAGCAGGGCGCGTCAGACGGGTCTCCAGGCGCACCCTCGTGCGCCGAGGGCAGGGCGCGGTTCGCGCTTCACGGAATCCGGGGCAGAGGGGAGGCCGTTTGGCGGAAGGGACCCGAGTTCGAACAGCGCAGGCTTTAGGGACCCTGCAGCGCGCCAGCTTCCAGCCACGGGGGCCGGGACCGCCTGTGCCCTGGGAGCAGGCGTGCCGTCGACGACCAGGGTTCTAGCCTCCACACCTGCGCTGTGGCTCCGCCCTAAGTGACCGCGAGGGCTCACCGGGGGAGGGGTTGACTGCGTGCTGTGATGACTGTGTGTGGTGCCCATCTGGTGTGTGACTGTGTGTGTACTTGTTGTGTTCCATGTTGGACTTGTGTTCCTGACCCCACTCTTGAAGACCAGGCTCCCTGGCCTGAGGCCCGTGTTCTGGCAGCATCTTGGCAGGGCAGCTCCTGAACCCCGACCCCTGAGCGGGGGAGACCATGACAACGCCCCCTGGTTAGGCCGTCCCACCCCGGCCACAGACAGAGACGATAGGGGCTCCACCACCGCAGGTCCGGGCTTGTAACTCCCCGCCCCGGAACGCGCAGCGGATCTGAGGAAGACACCGGAGAATAATTGGGCACTGGGCCCCAGCCGCCGCTGCCACCGGCGGTGAAGTGAAGATCAGGCGCACCCACCCCAGCCCATGGGACGACCACCCACGCACCAGGCGCCACTTTGGCCCCGGCCGACCCCCGTGATCCAGCCCACCTACGAGCTGGCCACGTGACGACGCCATCCCAAGTGCGATAGGCCCGCATGACCCTGGCCCCACCCACGTGCAGGCCAGGGACTCCAGGGCCCACCCCCATGCCAGCCATGTGGACCCCGCCCACTCATGCACAGGCCCCATGGACCGCCACCATGTGCAGGCTAAATTGACCCAGCCACTCATTGCACAGGCCATGTACCCGCCCCCATGTGCAGGCCCACATGACCCCGGCCCCACCTCAGCACAGCCCATTGACCCGGCCCACATGTGCCAGGCCCCACATGACCCGGCCCCACTCCATGCACAGGCCCCATGTGACCCCGGCCAAGTATGCACAGGCCGCCATGTTGACCCCGGCCCACCCATTGTCAAGCCTACATGACCCGGCCCCACCTCAAATGCCAGGCCATGTGACCCCGGCCCCACATGTGCAGGCCCACATAGACCACCGTGCAGTGGTTGACGGCCCAATCTGCAGGCAGTGGACTCGCTTGCCTCAGGCGCATAGATTGTTGGGCCCTTGTGGGTGGGGAGGGTCTTCGCGATGCACCTGCACGTGTGAAGCCATCTCAACACGCCGCGCCCGCCTCACGCAATCAGGAGCAACACTGTCAATAACAGCTTACACCATTGCTGGACGCAGTGACGACACTGAAGGCTCACGCGCGAGAAAGGGGAACGCCTGACTTTCGGCCAACATTAGCTTTGAGCCATACTGAAGTAGTAATCCAAGACGGGAAGTTGGGCTTGTTCGCATCCAATCTGGCGTGACTGATCAATGTTGGTGCTCATGGCTATGTCTTCGGGATGGGTCGGGTGAATCCACTATAGGTTTCGGTGGACACTGTGGGGGGAGGGCAGGCCTCTACCCCGCTTGGGAGAGGATGGTATAAACAATAAAAAGCTTTGCGCCTGTACACCTCCGCGGGGCAATAAAAAAATTTAACTAGAAACAAGTTTTGAAGGGAGAAAAAAAACAAGTACTGCTTTATTTTAATAAAGCTGTATTAAAAAGTAGTTATTTGCAGCTGAAGTTCTCGGTGACTAATAAGTGAGACTGGGTGGAGATAGAGGTGTAGACGGTGTTAGTGTGAGGCGTGCGCTTCTTCGCTACATGCCATTACTTGCATCTGTCTGTGCACGGTGTGGTTCAAGCGCTTTCTTTAGCATCCACAACCAGTCTGAATGGAGGTTTGAGAGCAAAGCCAGAACATTGGTTTGCTGCACGCCCAACCCAAGGGCTGGCTGAAGGCAGACCATGAATGGAGTAAAAATCGGTACAAGTGATAGTGAGCAGAGGATTTAAATTCACAGTTGCCGAAAAAACCCGATCATTTTTCCGATGAAGAGCGATCTTCGTTTTCAACTTATCCCCAAAGGAAGAAAATTTGAACAGCTTATTTTCTTCTGTTGTATCCAACAAATAATCTTAAAACAATGGTCGGTATCTATAACTCATTAATGAAAACATTGGGGACTTACGGTGTCAACGAAATATAAGGAATTTGAAACACACCAGACACACACAGGGACGAGCTCGTGAAATGCGTGTTTGCCATGTCTGTGTGGTAAACATCTGTGTGTCTTGTGTGTGTGTGTCTTTGGTATGTCACCGTGTGGTTATTTGTGTTCTGTGTGTGCACACCTCTCACGAACACTAAACCAAAAGATGAACCAGGGTCCATCTATCACCTCAACACACGCTGGCTGGAAATGGACCTACCTGGGAGACAGTCTGGTTCTGCCTCGCGCCTCGCTCCAGACCAGACGCGTGCGGCAGTTTCCTCCGTCACCCCACAGAGGAAGTCCAGACAAACTTGATGATGGGCAGCAGTCAGACATCGTGTAGAAACAAGAAGCTCCACCACCGCGAACGGAAAACAGAACACAGAGGATACGTAGGGGAACAACACCACCCGTATAAAGAGGAAATATATGTACCATGATATTCAGCCGACAGGAAGAAGCAGCACTCCTTCCACGTGGACGGCGGACCTGCAAACCGTCTGCCCAAGGAAAGCCGCAGAGAACCGACTCCACGACGGGTGTCAGACCGAGGGCCGGGCAGAGCGGCGGAACCGGCTGCAGGGGAGGGTGGGACCACCGGGAACAGGGCCGCGACCCTTTCCTTCGGGGTGAGGCGGACGTCGGAGCGGACGCTGTGACGTCGGGAGCAACCTGTTGAAAATGCCTCGACCTGACAGTGGGTCACCTTAACTCGGCGCTTTCGTGCTAACCGTGAGTGGTCTTTACAGAAATACCAGGAGTCTGAACTCACATTGCACAAAACAAAGACAGCATTGC